TTTTATTGAGTTTGGGTCAAAATATTGCATCACATAAGGTGACAATTAAATTTTTGGGATTTCACTTTCAGGATCCCCTTTTATTATATTATTTATAACATGATAATAAAAGTTTGTGCATAGTGTGTGTGCTTTTGCACTATTTATTGTAAGTAGATTTTATGGTAAAAGCCTAGCGCTAGTAATTTGACTTTTAGTGCTAGTTGTCTGTCAGTGATAGAACTGCACCAGAGATTGAAATCTCCTCTAAAATTTTCTTCAGCTGATTGAGGTAGTTAAGATTATAAATTTTATTTCTTTGCTTAACTTAATATACTAGTAGCTTTATAACGAATATTGGTTCTGCAAAATGTTAAACATTAGATATCTATAAACTATAGGCATATAAAAGTTCCCTGTATATGTCATATAATGTTAAAATCTTTTCTATTATTATGTTAAAACAGTATCTTGGTCACCTCGAAAATAGACAGATATACTATTGGAGCTATAGTAAATGCTATTAAATCTGAATACATTATTATTCTTACGAACAGGAAATATTTATGCCAAGATATTTATGAATTTGTTAATTACAAAATATATCATATCCATAGTGATAAATTTGTATATAAACATTATAATTCTAGAAGTTTTAGTATCTATGAGAAAAGTAATCATTCAATTTCATGAATCATATAATGGAATTATCATTATATTTTCAAAAAATATGTATACGTAAATTTATAATAATATCATTACATAATTATATAAGTAACTTGTCTTCTTTTGACAACTAGTATCTGTAGATATATATATAAATTCTCATTCTTTAATACTTTCAAACAACTATTTTGCTATTGTAATTATGGTTGAAAGTAAAGAAGAAATTTTGAGAAATTCAACCAACCTTATTTGGAAAGCAACTGATAGAAAAGTTGTTACAATTACTTTCAATAACCAGTTACGCTTAGCAACCATCTCGTTAGATAATGGAACCAACACTATCATAAATTTAGAAATACCAAGAGCAAAAAATTTTTTTGTTGTATAATATTTGAATTTCAGGTTATGCAGCAAAAAAAAATAACTGAATTTTTTTAGAGAATTGCTGATTATAAGAATGTTCCAGAATATCAACTATATAATAAAAGTGTTAGTGACAACTCAGAACATGACCAAGGTATGAATAAATTGATTAATGTTATCTCTGGAATGTTTAACCATAGCATGCAAGCTGACGATATTGAAAATGTATGCCAACTTAATAATGAATATGTTAACAATAATAATCAGGCAAGAAACTTTTTAATTATGGCAACTGAGATCTGTTAAAATTTGGGGTCTTTAACTAAATCGACTAAACTTTTTGAAAAGAATGACGAAAGAAATGATGAGGTAAAAAAATAAACAACTTAATTCGAATTAAAAATTTTAAATTAATTAAACCAACTTATTCTAATAATTAAAAGAGTAAAATAGAAAATATTATTGTAAGTATAATTAGTTTAAATTTTTTTATTAGTCTGAAGAGTAGTTATTCAAATATTTTTATATATACCAAAATAATTCTAGAATTTATCACACAATATAAATATTAAAGATAATAACAACGATCAAAATGATGAGGTAAATAAATGTTGTAAATTTTGCTATTAATAGAATGCTATTCAAGTATTTTATTAAAAAAATGGTTCTAGAATTTGCAAGATACTATAAATATTCAGAAAATCAACTATGAGGAAAGAATTGATAAGGTAAAAATGTTTTTTTT